TTTTAAAGTAAAATAGAACCGGTCAGATGACGGGTTCCTGGTTTTTCCGGTCCAATCCGGTTTTGAAAACAGTGGTTTTATCTAAGAACGGTTTGAGTTTGTTCATGAGAATTTTTGCAATGATCTTATATCTTACATTGTATAGGCTTATAGGTATGTAGTTTTTTACTATTGCCAGTTCCTGGGTTTTCGGGATCAGAGCTATAAATGTTCTATTTAGCTCCTTCATCATTTAAAAAAAATAAATAAAACTTTCACTGTTTGTTCTACTGAACTCTCAATTATATCCCAGTATTTCTTAAAGAAGTATACATTCAGTCTGTCTGACCCCGGACTCTTGTTCTCTCCCATGGAAGTTAGAGCCTCCCATATTTCTTGAGAAGTGACTCCCTTATAAGTTAAGATTTCGTTTTGTTCTCTTGTCACTATTGGGGGGTTACTTCCTCTTGTATCTTTCTTCAAAATTGTAAACAAACCATTTTTGTATTTCATTTGGATCCTCTAACCAAACCCCATCTGCATTCTTTATTCTGGTGATTCTATTTCTATTAAAATTTATTGTTCTTATCCCCTAACCTTAACCAATTAATCCTTGATTTCTGGTACCAAAATACTTCTTTTATATAGAGAATTCTACTTAGTTGCTTTTCAAGGCAAGTACTTTTTGTTGCATGTCTCTGCTTTCATGATATTGTTCAATGACCACCTGGGTTTCTCTTAGATCATGCATGATTTTATTTTTCTTATTTATTACATTTGCAAATTTAGTTTTGCTCAAACTCTTAGGTCATGTTTGGGAGTGTTTAATTTAAAAATAAGTGGTTAAAAATAAGTACTTATTTGAATAAGCACTTATTTGCATTTGGCATCCAACTTTTTCAAGTACACTTATTTTATATTAGGCGTTTGGTAGTCTTTTTCTCTAATAAACACTTAAATAAGCATTCATGACTATTTTGTCCTTCATTTTCTCTCAAATTTTCAAAATATACCCTTTGAAAGCATTTTTACTAAATTACTTTCATAAAAGCACTTTTCTGAAAGTACTTTTACTTTCAAAAAAGTGCTTTTGTAAAAGTACTTTTGTAAAATGCTTTCATAATATTACTTTTATATAAGTGCTTTCGTAAAGTATTTTTATAAATTTCAAATAAGGATAATTTTATAAGTGGTATTTTAAAATTCAACTAGGGATGATTTTATAAGTGGTATTTTAAAATTCAACTAGGGATAATTTTGGAAGAATAAAAAATTGAATAAATGCTTATTGTATAACCACTTAAAAAAAGCTGGAAATTTGGGTTAAAAAAGTAAGTCCTTATTTTTAAAATAAGCGCTTATTCCCCAAATACCAATAAGTGCTTAATGGTCCAAATAAGCACTTATTTTTAAACACTCCCAAACATAATCTTAATTTATGAACAGCTTGGTTCCTCTTTTTTATAAATTAGATTCCTTTTGACCCCTGGTCATTGTTTCCCCATTCATTTTCTATAATGTTTCTTTCCACACTACTACCCCACATTAGTTGGAATCTGAACGACTTAGGCTCAAAACCTAGGTATGGCAAGATTTTCCATATAGGCATTTGGATAGAGATTGGTCCAATATTCCATATTCATGAAAACTCGATCTAGTTTCTCATGAATCAGTTTATTTTTCCATGTGAATTTATTTCCTCTATATTCCATCTCTATTAGATTACAATCTTCTATCATATCATTGAAATGATTTGTTTGACTTGGTGTGGAATGAGCTTGCAAGTCTGCAACAAGCCCTACTGAATTGAGATCTGCTTCTATCAAGGCAAATCTATGCTCACACCGTCTAACAGGCTTTTGCAACCTTGCATTAGGAATATCTCTCCATAAAATTAAGCATATAAGTACGGAGATATTCTCAATGCAAGGCAGTAAAGGCTGTTCGAACAGGCTTTGCCCTGACTGAAACCGAACTCCACCGGAATTCAAATTTACTTTTCACAAAGTGATCCTCAAACCAACCTCGTAGCATTCAGAGCTACACATGATACTTTAAGTTGTCATTCATGGAGAGATGTTCCTAATGAACAATTGCAACGTGGTGTTTGGAGTATTCTATAAATATCAAATCCGATTTCAGCCCCACCAACCCACAAGGATTAAATTTAAAAGAGGTTTAATAGGGGTGCAAGTGTGCAACTAGGGTGTGTTGGGCCATGTTTGGATGCAATTCATGCTATGGCTGTGTGGGCCTGAGTTGAATACATTCATATTAGAAAGTATATAATATTGTGACTATATAGTATATACATAAAAACGTATTATAAACATAGGAAGTCACACTTAAATGGTTTCAATAAATTAAAGAATGTTTGGTAGGCTTAAGTTGGGCTGGGCCCGCCTCAGTCTAGGTTTTAGGTTCCCCAAGGCATCTCTCGAACGGTATGGATCATCCAATACTTAGGGTCCATTTGATTTGCAGTTGGAATTAGAATCGGAACCCAAAACCGGAATAGTCTATTCTAATAACCTGTTTGATTCAGATCGGAATGAAAATGAAAATTGGAATCATCAGGATTGAGATTTCAATCCTAAGGAAAGGGTAGAGAATGGCCAATCCCTCAAATGGAAGAATACCATTCCAGCAGGAATGGGAATGGAATTCCAGTTCCGCCCAACCAAATTCTAGATCCCTATTGCTGCGAACCAAATAGGGTCTTAGCGTCTTATACAAAGGTGTGCATTTACCACTGAAAATTCATTGGATTGATCAAAGTTCTTCTGGTATCATATCCATCCGTTCTCACATTTGAGAGATTGGCATATCAAATTCCCTCCCCCATGAAATTTGATAAATTTTCATGGGTTAGTATACTTTCAATGATTTTTAAAAACGAACTGGTGACCGAACTGGTCAGGGGTCCGGTTACCGGTTCGAACAGTTCGACTGTTTGACCCGAATGGCTGACTCGTTCTGATGAAAAAAATTAAAAAATTGAAAAACGATCAAAACCGTTCGAATGATTCAAACAATTAACCGGTCGGTTCAACGATTTACTGACAAAAATCAATGGTTTTGGGAGGAAAAGCGGTTTTGGAAGAAAACAGAACCGATTAGGTGACCGGTTCCCAATTTTTCCAGTCCGACCATTTGGTCCGGTTTGGTTTTAAAAACAGTGCTTTCAATAAAAAAAAAGACCCAAGATTTTAGGTTTGGGGCATAAGCTGGGTCAGGCTTGGGCTAGACTAGGAGGGAAATCACCTAACGGATTAATCAACCCATTCCCAAACTTGCTACGTGGGTGAATCTCAGATATGGCCATGCTATTGATACCTGACTCCAATGGGCACCCTCTACGCGACCCGATCCATCTAAATCTACCCAATGCGTTAGTCAACCCGTTTTCAACCTTTATATGTGAACGGTTTTCCTATGTACAGTTGCTAACCCTAACTCGACAATACACAAACAAAACAAATATAGTTTTAAGTGCAATTCCATTGTTGCATTGGTGGAATGGTCCATTTACAGTGCAGTTTCATTGTATTCTGTAATGTAACGTTGGGGAATATTCCGATTGGTCAGGTTTAACACGATACGACTCATCAACTCGGGGTGTCAATTAAACCGGATTGATCCAACTCGATCCGGTTTAATATGAGTCCATTATAGATGTATCACGTCCAATTCAATCCGGTTAATACGTTAGACCATTTTGGACCACTCCAATTTAATGTCTAACCGGACTGTCCAACCTATTCAAATTAGTTTTAATTTAGATTGGTTTCAACCCAAACTCGCTCCATTAACACCTATCTTCTATCAGTGGACTAGATATTAATTCAATCTGACCCAATTCAATATAAATCCATTATGGAAGGACTAGGATCAATAAATAGTTTAGACCATTAAGTATAGTCAGGTCCAATTCAATATATTTTACTGGTCTTGATTTTGATTTAGACGGGGTCCACTCCAAAACTGGTTTATTGACACCCCTACCTAGGAATGGCAACGGGGCAGGTTTTGGGCGGGGATCATAGTCCCTGTTCCCACCCCCGATTCTGAAATTAACCCCAACCCCGTCCTCGATTCCCAACGGGAATGGGTTCTTCACGGGAACCTAAATCCTTGAAACTTTTTTAGATAGTAGTATTTTTTTGAAAAATAAATTTACTTAAATAAATAAATATTTTAAATTATAAATAATATTTTATATACATTTTGATATATATAAATAATATACATTTAATATAAATAACATTTAAATATACTCAATTAGTCAATCCCCATCTCCGAGCCCAACCCTGATCAGGGATTCTTATTAATCGCCGTCTCCATCCCCATTCCGTCAAAACAATTCCCATCCCCCACCCCATGGGATCGGGGAAGTGGAGTCCATGGGGGATGGGGTAAATTGGCATCCCTACCCCTACCATCGATATCAAAAGTTCCTCGTCACAGAGTGATATTTTATAGTTCCCACCGTAAATTACGTTTCTGATGCGTACTGCTGCAAGCCAACCAAGGAAGGTATATTCCAGAGTGACCCACTACATCGAGGCCCACGGCGGGCCATCCTTCACCACCCACCTCACAACACATATGACAGATCCAAGTCTTGTGGGCATTATACAAAGAAATGGACTCAAGTCCACATGGCACGATACATCGTTAACACCGCAACTTCACATGGTCCTGGTCCCCTCCAACCTTGGTGGGTCCCCTGAGTAAGTCCCTCTCATTCCCCAATGTCTCACGACATACACCTCACATCCGATCAATACATGTGGTAGTATCCCACTACAAGTAGACAACCCAGATTTGGACCTTGTAGAATTGACGCTGACTTCTGTGAATGTCTGGATATAGGATCAGCCGATCAGCGCAGTTTTCTGACCGTTGATCATGGGTGGAAACATCCACCACAAATTGCAGCATGGACCCCATCAAATTATCGTATCTATTTCCTTCTTCTACAAAGAGAGTGGAAATTCAAATGGGCCATGTTTTCTCTTCAATCTTCAATTCTTCACCACCAATAAAATAATGGACTAGGAGCTGAAGATAAGGTAAGTTATTCAACTGTTTTCCATCTGAATTTCATGAGAATCACAACGGTAGATGGTTAGGTGTTAATGGTCCTCTGATTTGCTTAAATGGGTCATGTTGATGAGCCCATTTTTTGCTATAAGTAGAGCGAGAGAAATAACTGCCAATCCTAGTTGCACGTAGGGAGAGAGCAAACCCCATTACATCTCCGATAAACCTGACCAGAATTTTACTATTTTTTAACAGAAAACATCTCCTTGAGCTGGAGAGACAAGGTTTTTCTCTTGCCTGGAAGCCATGAGAGAGTCATCTTCTTGAAGAAATTGCCTGCAACTGATTCCTGACTCAGGAGAATTTCGTAGTTAAACCTGCCTCCGGGCAAGGTTTAATTTCCTTTCCTCTCCTCCTCCTCCTCCTCCTCCGTCCTGTGTAAGTTTCCGGAATGACAAGGAGCCCAGGATGCAGGAAATTGTGGCTGTGAGTGGCACAACTGGTAAGAATCTTGAGATGTCTGTTCGTCCGGGAGGAGGACCAATGGAGAAGAAAGGGACCATCTTGATGCAAAGGTACGAGATGGGGCGGCTGCTAGGCCAAGGGACCTTCGCCAAAGTCTACCACGCGAGGAACATCCGATCTGGCCAGAGCGTTGCAATCAAGGTGATTGACAAGGAGAAGGTGCTGAAGGTCGGGTTGATGGAACAGATCAAGCGAGAAATCTCTGTGATGCACCTGGTTCATCACCCAAATGTTGTTCAGCTCTACGAGGTCTTGGCCAGCAAGAGCAAGATCTATTTTGCCATGGAGTACGTGAGGGGTGGGGAGCTTTTCAACAAGGTATCCAAAGGGAAGCTCAAGGAAGACGCCGCACGGAAGTATTTCCAGCAATTGATCGGAGCCATCGACTACTGCCATAGCCGAGGGGTCTACCACCGCGACCTCAAGCCAGAAAACCTCCTCCTCGACGAGAATGGCAATCTCAAGGTCTCAGACTTCGGCCTGAGCGCGCTGTGGGAGTCCAGGAGGCAAGACGGTCTGCTCCACACTACGTGTGGAACGCCGGCCTACGTCGCACCGGAAGTCATCAGCAAGAAAGGCTACGACGGGGCCAAGTCGGATATCTGGTCTTGTGGGGTTGTTCTGTTCGTCCTACTGGCAGGATATCTCCCTTTCCATGACTCCAACCTCATGGAGATGTACAGGAAGATAAGCAGAGGAGACTTCAGGTGTCCTCAGTGGATCTCGCCGGAGGCTCGCAAGCTTCTCTCCAGGTTGCTGGATCCTAATCCAAGCACACGGATCACCCTGGCTAAGGTCATGGAGAACTCATGGTTCAGGAAGGGATTCAGACCCTTTCAGGCTCCACCAGTTGAAGAAGATGTTCCAGCAATCGACAGGGATATCAAGAAAGCCTTTGAGTCCAATCCAGATGACTGTTCCAAAGAGAAATCCGAGGGAACAAGCTCCATGAAACCGACCTGCATGAATGCATTTGATATCATCTCCTTGTCGTCGGGATTCAACCTATCTGGTCTGTTTCAACAAAGCGAGCACAAGCAGGAGGCTCGGTTCACAACAACAAAGCCGGCATCGGCAATCGTATCCAAGTTCGAGGAGATCGCGAAGATGGAGAGGTTTAAGGTGAAGAAGAAAGACGGGATGGTGAAGCTGGAAGGAAGCAAGGAAGGGAGGAAGGGGCACCTGGCCATTAATGCAGAGATCTTTGAGGTTACACCTTCATTTTACATGGTGGAGGTGAAGAAAGCGTCTGGGGATACACTGGAGTATCAGAAATTCTGCAACCAGGAGCTGAGACCTTCGCTCAAAGATATCGTGTGGACATGGCAAGGGGTAGATCAGCAGCAGGTGTAGTAGCAACGCGTTTAGCCTTTGTTAGTTGCGGATTAGAAATAGGCTGGTTGCTCTGCTCTGCTGAGTTTCTTTTTGTTTTGAATTACTTATTTCCCCGGTTAATTTTGTTGTTATAATGTTGTTTTGTTTTCCTTCTTTTGATTAAGCACACTTTCTCCTACATGTACAGCGGGAGATTGGTATATACTTAAGATGTTTGATTTCCAGCTTTGGGAACAGCCTGTGAATGTGAGTGGCTGTTTTTATTTTTTTACGTGGTAATAACAAAATACAGCTTTTTGTCTATATATAATTTGGTCTGTAATTCACTTATGGATCTGGTGGGACCCCTCAACAAAGAGGGTGTTTGGTATTAGGGTTTATGCATGGTTGTGATGTTGCATGTGTCTGTACTTGATTTATGCTTTGGAAAATTAATCACTATTGATTAAATTTTCCTTATTGTTTATTACACATAAACCCTAAGCTTGCCATTAAGCATCATAAATAACAAAATGACCACGTTTGTATTTGATTGACCTACGAATTTGGTTTGATAGAACGAAAATGCTCTACAAATACAAATGTGTAGAGCCCAAAACTTTTGTATTTTGTATTATTTTATATGTATTTATACTGTATATATTTTTCAAACTGAGCCTAAATACCATTTATGTAATGACAAAAATGTTTCATGATATTTATATAATGTTTTAAAAACTGACTTAGAACCAGTACCGCTTTGGCCACAATAGTCTAATATGAAAGGACAATCCATTATAGTTTAAAAAAATAAAAATAATAATAAAATAAAAAAGTCAGAAACCATTGTTTGGGTTGAATGGGCCGATGGATCGACTGCCTGGGTTAGCTGGTCATTGATCAAGTCAGCGGTTTTTAACAAAAAAGTGTTGTGAATCAGAACTTGAATAGAACAAGCTTAAAACAAACTAGAATGAGTCTCCATTATTGATTAACAACTTTGGCTAATAAATAGCCTTTACAATAACTAACTAAGAGAAAAAACAGCCTACGTTTTACACCAACAAATTGTGGTAAAGAGCAGAGAACGAGTCAAAGCTGAAAACTACCTACTTAATAGGGATTTATTAAAACAGAATAAATCTAAACAACAAGGAAACCTAAATCTTGACACCCTCCCTTAAACTAATTGCTAACTTCACAAACACCCATGAGCTTTCTCAACTTCAAAAACGTATCAAGCTTGAGAGGCTTAGTCATCACGCCTGCAATCTGATCTTGTGTGCCACAATGAACTAACTCCACTACTCCTTCWTTAGTAAGATCACGCARGAAATGAAAGCGAACATCTATGTGTTTGCTTCGTCCATGCATTACTGGATTCTTTGATAATTTAATTGTTGAACTATTGTCACAAAACACAGTAGTACAATTACCTTGTGTAAGACTGAGCTTCTCCAAGATTCTCCTTATCCAAACAGCTTGACATGTACAGGATGTTGTGGCTATGAACTCAGCTTCAGTTGTGGAGAGTGAAACAACAGGCTGCTTTCTAGAGGACCAAGACACGGCTCCAGAACTCAACATGAATACATATCCCGATGTGCTTTTCCTATCCTCCAAATCATCGGTATAGTCACTATTAATAAAAGCAACCAATTTATCATTCCCTCCCTTCTTGTAGAAGATCCCAAGATTTGTTGTGCCTTTCAAATATCTTAACACCCTCTTTGCAACCTGTAAGTGAAGCTCAGTTGGCTGCCCCATGTATCTACTAATCAAACTCACTACAAACATCAAGTCAGGTCGAGTGGCTGTTAGATACGTGAGACTCCCTACTACTTGCTTGAAGAATGTTGCATCAACCTTGACTCCATTTTCGTCTTTGAAGACTTTAAAACCTGGAACAATCGAACTATGGACAGAATTGCTTTCCTCCGCCCCAAATCTTTTCAACACATCTAAAGCATATTTCTTTTGTCTAATGTAAATGCCATCAGTCTTTTGCAACACTTCAACTCCAAGAAAATACCTCATCTTTCCCAAATCAATCGTATCGAATTCATGCATCATAGAGCTCTTGAACTCATAAAACATTGATTCATCATTTCCGGTAAAAATGAGGTCAGCAACATACAAACTCACAATTAAAATTTTACCTCCTTTGCTTGTTTTGACGAACAAGGTATTCTCACTATGGCACCTCTCAAAGCCTTCATTCACAAAGTGTGCTTCTACACGACTAAACCAAGCTCGTGGAGCTTGTTTGAGTCCATATAAAGCTTTCTTCAGTTTGTATACCTTGTGCAAATTATCCTTCTGCTCATAGCCTCTTGGTTGCTCATTCACTTAGTTCTCCATGGAGAAAGGATGATTTCACATCAAGTTGGTAAATCGTCCAACTCTTTTGAGCTACAAGAGCAATAATTATTCAAACTGTATCCATCCTTGCCACCGGCACAAAAACCTCTGTGTAATCAACTCCATGTTGTTGCGTATAGCCTTTTGCTACAAGGCGTGCTTTGTACTTGTCTACCTTTCCATGCTCATTAAGCTTTGTTTTGTAAATCCACTTGACACCAATCTTCTTTGCACCTGCAGGTAAGTCGGTTAGCACCAAGTATCATTCTTTTCTATGGATTTTATTTCAGAATCCATAACAGCTCTCCACTTTGCACTTTTCACAGCCTCTTCAAAATAAAAAGGATCTGTAGATGCAAATAATTATAGATTAGTCTCATCTTCTTCTTCAGACAGACCCTCACCTGTTTCATAATCTCTCATCCAAGCAGGTGGCCTTCTAACTCTCCCTTCAATGGAAATAGGTGAACTCTCTTCATCTACCTGATTTGGAGAATCAGCCGCAACCTCTTCTGCACTACTTCCATCTTCAATCTCGGCCTCATCTTCATTATTTGCAGCAGCATTTTCCTCATTATCTCCCCATTCCAACACAGCTACCACCTGTTCTTCATAGCTCTTATCCCAATCCCAAGATTTTTCCTCTTCGAAAACTACATCCCTACTAATTACAATATTCTTGGCTATTGGATCATAGAGCCTATAAGCTTTAGATTCTTCACTAACTCCCAACAACACACAAGTAAAACTTTTGTCTTCCAACTTGGTTCTCTTGACATCAGGTACATGAACATGTGAGATACAGCCAAACACTTGAAAATATTCAACCGAAGGCTTGACTCCACTCCAGGCTTCCTCCGGAGTTATGTTCTTCACTACTAGAGTAGGACTTCAATTTAGAATATGCATTGTCCAATTCACAGCTTCTGGCAAAAAATTCTTTGGAATCTTCTTCTCCGAAAGCATACTTCGAACCATGTTCATGATGGTCCGATTCTTCCTCTCTGCAACTCCGTTCTGTTGCGGAGTGTAAGTTGCTGTCAATTGCCTCTTGGTGCCATTTTCTTTACAAAATTCATTAAACTCTTGTGAAGCGAACTCACCCCCTCGATCAGTACGCAAACACTTAATATAGGAACCTGTTTCTTTCTCAACACAACTTTTATACTGTTTAAAGATAATTAAAGCTTCAGATTTTTCAACCAAGAAGTAAATCCATGCCTTTCGACTAAAATCATCAATGAAGCTAATTAGATACCTCTTTTTGTTGTTTGAGATCAGTGTGATAGGGCCACATATGTCAGCATGAATGAGTTAAAGTTTTGAATATGCTCTCCAAGTGCTCTTCTTTGGAATTGGATCTCTATGTTGCTTTCCAACCATGCAATCAATGCACACAGTTTTTGAAGCCTCAAATTGTGGTAGTCCATTCACCATCTTCTTGTTTTGAAGAGTCCTCAATCCTTTGTGACTCAAGTGTCCATATCGGCAGTGCCAGAGATGTGATAAGTCTTGGGTAGCTATGTGAAAGCAAGTTGGTTTCTTTGGTTGTGACGCAGCCAACAAGATAAACATTCTATTGGCAGACATCTCTGCTTGAATGATCAAGCCCTTCTCAGGATGATAGATTTTACACTTGCCGTGTTGAATAAGAATTGCTAAACCTTTCTCCTACAGCTGCCCAATGCTTAGTAAATTGTTCTTCAATTCAGGCACATAAAATACCTAGGTGACTATATGATTGAATCCATCCATTTTTAGCTTTATATTACCCTTCCCCATCACTGTCATTTTTGAGTTATTTCCCAGCTTCACCATTTGCCTGAAGCTTTCATTAAAGTCGTAGAAGAGAGCTTTGTCTCCACACATATGGTTGCTACAGCCCGAATCACAAAACCAAACATCCTCCTTTTTTGCTTCATTTATTTCAACATAGGACATTAAACATCGCTTCTTCTTCTCCAACCTCAGCATAATTTGCCTCTTTGTCCCAACTTGGGCATTCATATTGAAAATGTCCAAGTTTGTGACACTTGTAGCATTCTACAGTAGCTTTGTTAAAGGATTAGTGTCCTCTGCCTCTACCTCTTCCTCAAAAGGATCCGCAACCACGACCTCTTCCCCACATACTTTCTTCATAAGTTACCTTCAGTGCCTACTCTTCTCCTTTGTGCCTATGGAACTTCTACTTGTGAACAATTAAGGAACTTTGCAGTTCATCAATTGATAGATGATCAATGTCCTTTGACTCTTCAATTGAGCAAACAATATAATTGAATTTGTCGCTCAATGATCGAAGTATCTTTTCTACTATTGTAACATCTCTCATTTGTTCACCATGAACTCTCATCTTATTGGCAACAAACATCACTCTTGAGAAATAGTTAGAGATACCTTCACCAGATTTCATCTCAAGAGTTTCATACTCTTTGCAAAGAGCTTGAAGAATGAATCGTTTCACCCTTTCATTCCCCTCATACTTCTTCTTCGTGGAATCCCATATCTGTTTGGATGTGTTCTTCTATAGGATGGTTTCTAGGATAGTTCAATCGATGGCTTGAAACAGATAATTTTTCACCTTCAAGTCTTTCAGCTTCATCTCATCAAGCTTCTTCTGTTGTGCCTTTGTCAATACTGCTCCACTTTCTGGCTCAACATAACCAGTCTCCACAAGACTCCAGTACTCCTTGGATCTTAAAAAGTTTTCCATCAACATGTTCCAATGATTGTAATGACCATCAAAGCGAGGAATAGCAGGTTGCACAAAATTCCCTTCAGTCATCATCTCTTGCTGCTGCAAATCACAAAGGCTACTGCTTTGTTTCTCCAAGCCTAGTGGGGGCTCTAATACCATAATGTTGTGAATCAGAACTTGAATAGAACAAGCTTAAAACAAACTGGAATGATTCTCCATTCTTGATCAACAACTTTGGCTAATAATTAGCCTTTACAATAACTAATTGAGAGAAAAAAAAAAACAACCTATGTTT